GGCCTCCGCCAGCTGCTCTTCTCTCCAGAGACTCTACGCCTGCCTCCTGATGGGACCAGCTCTAACTGTGCCCATCCCTGCCCAGGTGGGAGCCACACCGCTCTGCCTCCGGCTGCATGGCCAAGCCAGAGCTGGGTCGCAGGAAAAGAGCCGCTCGGGTCTCCCGGGCCTCGGGTTTCACCCTGCTGCGGTGTCTAGCCCGCCCGCCCGCCTTTGGGCCGAGGGGGTTTTACTGCTCCAGGTCCCAATGAATAAGCACCAGGCGGTGAAAAGTTTGGAGGTCTGAAGACAGCTCAAGTGACGTTCCTCCGCGGGGTCCTAGAGCCCGTCAGTTTGCAGTAATGCAGCCGCTCCGCAGGCTCCGGAAGCCAGTTTCGGAGCTTGTGTCCCAGAGGGAGCCTGGCTTACTAGCAACACGTTCAGAGCAGCCCTCCCTGCGTCTCCCTCAGCTGAGAGCGAGGGGCGGCCTGTTCCACCGGCCCAGAGATCTCCAAGTGCCAGAACCCCCGGCCTCTGCGGAGCCCGTCCGCCGCGCGCTAGCACGGCCACGGGCCCCGTCCCCTCCCCCAAATGGGGCTGGGAGGAGGGCTCAGGCGGCCACGCTCCACAAGAGGCCTTGCTGGAGGCAGAGCCACAAGCGAACGTTCGGCACATCGAGTCCAGCCTCCAGCCCCGAGCACCGCACTGAGCCGAGGTGACATCCAGTCACCAGATAGCCCCCCAGCCCCTGTGACACGGGCAAGGTGTGTCGGGGGGGCTGGCTCCGTGCCCCCAGAAGGGGCAGGGCCTCAGGTGGAAGGAGTGGGGGCAGGGCAGCCAGCTTTCCACCTCCCGCCAGCAGACCTCAGCACCGCCCGCAGCACGGTGCCCCCCCAGCTAGGAGCCCCAGGGCCCTTGGAATCGCCAGGTGCCGGGGCAACTGCCCCTTTTGTCCTCCATGTCGGGGGCCTGTGCATCCCTAATGTACATGGGGATTTGCCGCAGCCATGGCCATCTCTTCCAACAGTTACTCACTGGGACTTTTTAGTCCAGCCCTTTTCCTAGCTTTCACCCGTCGGTCTGGTGTCTTCTTGGGTACAAAACGTTCATGTTTCTCTCAAAGCTCCCTGGTTTGTTCACCGCTCCGTTCGCCACAGAATGTGGGATCGTGGTTTCAACTGGCCAGCATCTCTCCGTAGTGCCTGCCGGGTCTGGCGCTAGAGCTGCTAGAACAAACACAATTTCTGTCCCACAGGGAATTCTATGACTTTGAAATTTTGTTTTTGTTCTTGGGATGGGGTGGACGAGCCTGAGGCCCCCTCTGCAGGCCGTGTGGCCGTGCCACACCCCGTGCCAGAAAAGGGCAGTGGAGAGGGTCCTCTGAGCTGCCTAGAGCGGCTGTGGGACGCAGGCAGGCAGGGCCCAGAAGGTCAGTGTGAGAAGAGCTGCAGGACCAGAGGAAGTCCAGGTTCCTGGTAGCGCTGGAGGAGCATAGCTGGTGGCTGGCCGGAGGAGCTGCAGGACCTTGCATGAGGCAGGGCTGCCAGAAGCCAGGCGGAGTAAGGAGCCCTGTGCTGGTTGCAGGGTCTCCGTCAGGACAAGGCTGATCAAGCCGGTGCAGGGCTGTGGAGAAGCGGCCCAGGGAATGGGAGCAGCAGTGCAGTTTATTCATAAAGAGTTGTTGTGGATGACTGCTCTCTGTCGGTCCCTGGCCTGGGACCCCAAGTAGAGGTAACCGCCCCCCAGCCTGTGGGAAAGTGGCCTGGAGTTGAGGCACCCCAGAGGGGGACTGACCTGGAATGGGCCAGCTGAAGGGCTGGTGCCAGAAAGTCCCTGAGAAGGCGAACATGGGGCCTCCGGGGAGGAGCGGGGGGCGCCAGTCTGGTCTGGAACAGGAGAGGTGGCAGAGGCACTGAGAGAAGCCCCACAGGGCTCGCTTTGCTTTGATCTCATCGAGGTCTGAGCAGCAGACACCCACACGCCCAGCTCGGGGGCAGCCCCCGGCTTTTCAGATCTTCCGTTTACAAAACCAGAAAAGGGGAAATAGAAAACCCTCCGGTTAAACCGCACTGACGGGCGCAGCACAGCCGCGCAGAAAGCCTTCCACAATGGCAGGGCCGGCTTCCATGCTGCCGTGATGAGCACGATCTCTCGGTCCAGGGAAGGGAATTCATCCCTGAGCAAACCCCCGAGTGTGGGACGGATCCAGAGTCCCAGTTCCTCCATGTGCTGGTTGGTAGCAACCTGGCACAATGGGCGTGGGGCAGGCGCGGGGCTCCTGGGTGCCACCACCCTTCAAGTAGCAAGTGACATATTAGTGCCACTCATTCTCCTTTCACCTGGCTTAGCTTGGCCGCTACTGGCCAGCAGCCCCCGGTGTGACCAGCAGCCCGGCCATAGTGGCCCAGCGGTTAAGGCCAGGAGGGGCTGACCTCCGGCCTAGCATTTGCACAGCTCCAGGTGGGAAGCCCTAGTCCATGGACCCGCCAGGGCGTCCTGCGTGCCGTATGGCTGGCAGGGGCTGGCCCCAAGGCGGGGCGGGCGGG